CCCCTTTTTTGGTTGGGAGATTCGGTTCCCCGACTAAAGTAGACTACAGAAAAAAGGGTACCCTTATTCTAACCTCTCTACTGGAGGAGCTAGTTAACTTGGCGAATCAAACATCCAAGTATGTTGCTCACTTGCAACCAAAGCGCATCAACCTTTGGACCCTTTGGTGTTGTTTCTGTTGGAAGCAAGCGCGTCTCCCGAAACCTACCATTTTGGCCACATATGTGCTGCATTGCGGCCCGCACCAAAACATCTACACAGAACAAACTAACACTATCCCTGCTCGAAATGCCAACTGTTTTAAGGTTATTTTTTGAACAACCTAGTTTTCCAGGGTGAATACCTTCTTTTCAGCAAGGGGTTGACATGACACCCTGAAGAAACTTGGTATTGGGAGTAGCGGTAAAACGAGCATTTCTGTCATGCTGTAAGTGGCTGTCAAAGCGAACTTTGCCAAGTCAGGTTGTTAATTCCTATAGCAATAACCCACAGGTTCTGCATATTGAGATCTTCCTTGTTGGGTGAACAAGACCCAGTGGCGCTTTCCACATGCACTTGGCATTCCGAACATCCAAGTGAGCAGGCGGAACCAAGTGAGACAAGGAGGTCGCGCGAAGGGAGCACGCCACATTTGAATCTTAGTGGTTGGCCATACCTGCGCCTCCAAATACCCAGCTTTTGTTTAGGGTATGATTTGTCAATCCTTCACGAAAAATGTGGTATTCATTGATAACCAATCGGTTTTCCCAAACATGCCCTTAAACAAGAGTTGGCATTTGGAGCTTTCGGGGTAGCCTGTGACTTGTTGTCTCTTTGAGAGTTCGCCAAAAGTGTTCTGCTCTGGGATCCTCACAAGCACAAGCGAAACGGGAGCCACGCGATAGATCGCTTCCTTCTTGGCATGGCTTTGGGTCGGCGAGGAATTTGTGCTTTGCCTCAACGAGAACAGATGGACCCTTAAACTATTGCCCCAAACCTGAAATCATGCGGTGAGTTCCCTTTGTAAGGGTAGTGCGGTATATGTTCCATTGTTTCAAGGAACTCCTTTTGCATTTTGCGATAGAACCGGTCATGACCCCTACTCCAAATAATTACTTGGTTGTTTAGGTTGTTTTTTTGAAAGACCCGTTTTTCCAGGTAAATCCCGATCCCATTTTTTAGAGCAGGGGGGGTGGTTTTTTCACCGTTTCTCAGGGGACCCCGCCCGTGCGAGGGCCTCCTCTTCGCGTCGGCAGCGCTGCATGGCTTTCGGGGCCGAAGCGGGCAGGCCAGTGACCAGACGGTGGGATGGGTTTTGAAGGGAATGCTTATGTGTACCACCCAGTTTACAGATTAGTATGTACCCCTGCCAATACCAACTGTTTTTTCAGTATGAAACGTCGACCCTTTACACGAAAAGGGGGGTATTACTACCATGGAAACCCAAGTTTTCCTCAAACATACACAAGAAAGGTAGGCATTTGGAGGGGAGGGGGTCTTACAAAAGTGCTATATAACCTTCATACCTCCTTCCCATACCAGAAAAAGTTGCAACTTGGGCCAGCCAGTTTCCTTTCCGGACCTCCTCTCTCGACGCTCCGCTGGAGGTTTCTTTGTTCCGCTTCCGTGGCCGCAATGCAAGCCTTTCGATCACCCTGGATGTTTTATCGAAGTCCGAAGAAGACCACAACCCCCTACACCCAATGCCCGGCCTTGTTTCAGGGTATCAGGTCGTCCCTCTACTAAAATTGTCCTTGGAAAACCGATCGGTTTTCCCAAAAAACCCTTAAAAAAGCGGGTATTTGGTGTAGGGGGAACTCCAAATGCCTCTTTTGGTTTGGACAATTTTCGGAAACGCCTTGTCCAGGACTACCCCCCACTCCAAACACCTGCGATGTTTTAGGGTTTCATGTCGACCCTTTCCGAAAGAAAAAAAGAAAAGGTATGGACCGTGCAAAGCCGATCGGAGTTCAACAAAAATACCCTGCAAAAGGCGAGTAAGGGGTAAGTTGCCATGAGGTCCCTGTACCTTGCGCCCAAACTGGGCACACTAAGACTGGGAAAAGTGAGGGGAGCGGCAGCATCGGGGTGATCGCCGGACGCGTACTGATGCTTGTGCTACCCCCTACTCCAAACTACCCGCTGTTTTCAGGCTCTTTGGAAGACCGATCGGTTTTCCATGTTAAATATCGATCCCTTTTTTAGTAGAGGGCCGACATGATATCAACTGAAAAAAGTGGGTATTGGGTGTAGGGGGTACATTCCCTTTCAAACCAACATGGGAATTAACAGATACCCCCTACTGCAAATACCCACTTTTTTCAGGGCATGTTTGGGAAATCCGATCAGTTTTCCATGGTAAATACCTGGTTTTTTAGTAGAGGGCCGACATGATACCAACTGAAAAAAGAAAAGCCGGGTATTTGGAGTTTACGGGGGAGGTCCGTGTTATTGGGGGAAAGAAAGCAAAGGAAGGGCCACACGGGCGCGAAGGCAAGACCGGAGCCGCCTGCGCTGCATGCCATCGGCGTTCAACAAGCTCAATGCTTCACCAATTCGTTCCCCTTTTATGGTTTCTCCTCATTGGAATCCCCTTTGTTTTCCACCAACCAGGCATTTTTTATTTTTGTTTGCCGGGGTCCTCATTCCAGCCAAGAAAAAAAATCTGGAAGACAAATGCCGTCCTGTTTGGCAAAGGGTTGACACATGATCTGAATCGAACGGGGAGCAGGGGGTCCCACCTTGTGCATTTCAAGGCCCAAAGAAACCAACGACGCCTTTTCCCCGTAGCCGGCTGGGCTATATGGGCCGCTCACACGGGAACTTCTGAGTGGGCTATAGGTTCCCAGCAGCTTTACTGGGCGCTTCAGGGCATGCGAAATATGCTCTTCAAATTGTTGAGTTGACTAATACTTAATAAGTTTGAAGAATTTATCGACGAGACATGTTTCTTGCCATTTCAGCATGTGGCTGTGGCTCAAGAAACCGGTACCAACATGGAACCCTGGTAAGTGGAAACATGGGTACCAGAACCTGCGGTTTGCCCCTCCTGTTTAATTTTGAGCCACAGCCATGTGATCACAATTATTGGCTATACGCCGGATTAATAAACCCCTGGTTGATTTTGATCGGGGGGTGTCCAATTCCTTTTAGTGCTTGGATTCAGACCACTTTTGGAGGGGTAAAACACCCCCCGAGTAGTGGGACAGGTTTATTCCTGGGTCAACATGGGCTAAACGCCCGGAAGGATCTCAAGCCCATGGAGATTCCCGGGCTTATGTGTCTCGCCCATCCAGCTCCAAGCAGCCTATGTGTCTTTCAGGCTACGACCCTCTAAGAAAGGGATCCACCCATTTTCCCATGCTCAACGATCGGTTTTCCAATATGTAATATATAAAATTATTTTCCAAAACAAGAGAGGGGGCGGCAAATGGGGTGAGCTCACCACCCTGACTTTTAGTTGGCCAAGGATTATTGCCCAGTAGCCAACCAGGCAAATTCCTTTGTTGTTTAACTGCCAGTAAGCCCTTGGGTACCTACAAAACCAAATTGATGGATCCACTGCGTTGGGTTTGCGGGATGCTGAAGACTTCTCGCGGATTGAGCCAGACACAGGCAAGCCATTGTAGCAGGCAGGCAGTTTTCCAATGGTAAAACCTAAGAGGTCCCCTTGCTACCTCCCAAGGTAAGACTCCTTTCCACCCCTTCCCCCCCTCCCCCCCCCGCAAGAAAAAAACAACGCCAGGAAGCAAGGACGAGAGGTACCCCTTCCAAAACCACCAGTTGTTCAGGGTAGCGTGTCAACAGTCTACACGAGGTTTGGTGTTTGGCAAACCAATCGGTTGTTCGAAACAAATGCGGATACCCCCCCAACTCCAAATACCCGTTATGTTCGGGAGCCACCTTGTTTTCTCCGATCAATCACCCTTTCTCAGTAGAGGGTCAACATTGCACAGGGAAGCAAAAAAGGGGGAACAAAAACACGGGGTAGTGGGCGGTTTCGGGGGTATGTTCCAGAGCTTTGGGTTGCGCTCCGCCAAGTCCAACGGATTGCGCCTCGTTCAGGCGAAAGCGGCGTCGTCGTCCCGGTCCCGGACCAAAACGAAAGCCGGTGCCCGGCGGTGGTCCCAAGGACCGGAACGAGGGCGTTCGACTCGCGCGAAGTTGTAACGGGTCATGCCCCTAGCTCCAAATACCTGGGCGGCTTGCTTGCTTGTTTGGCGTGTGTCTTTTTCTTGGCGGGAAAGCTGATCAGTTTTCCATAATAATGACCTCCTTTTTGAGTGAAGGCTTGACATGATACCCTAACACAAGTTTGGAGGTTACAGCCCAAGTGGCTAGCCACTTACTAACTTGGCCGGACATCAAATGGAACCCTGGGCCCGGGGGGGGGGGGGGGAGGGGCTGGATTTGTGGAGGACCCCTGTAACCTCCAAATTCCCCGCCTTTTTTCAGGGTTTGGTTGCTTGTTTTGGCCAGTCTCGAGCGGTAAGGGAGATACCTCAAGAGAATGCTAGCTGGACGCAAAGGCCCTCTTGCCCTGGGCTGCTCCTTCCCTTTGCTTAAGAACGTGTTTTCCCTGAAAATACGTGTTTTCCCTTTTGGGCTTTAAAGCGAATCTATCACGTTTACCCCCTACTCCAAATACCCGGCCTTGTTTCAGGGTATCATGTCGGCCCTCTACCAAAAAAGGAGTGATTTACCATGGAAAGCCAGGCTGTCCCAAAAATACCCTGAACAAAAAGCGGGTATTTTGAGTAGGGAGTATTTTCTCCATGGGACTTAAGCAAATGGAGGGTTACCTCTTGCACATGGGCAGATTGAGTTTGCGTCGCTTTGGCTCTCACTTGCCCAAAGCAAAATGTGGCTTTTGACCTCTTCGCTATTTGTTTTAGTCAAGGTTCCAAAAGGTCACAGTGAGAAATGTCCAAAAACCTAAGTGAGTTGACGTGAGGGGTTCCTTCTCCTTCCCCTCTACTCAAAAAGGAGTTGTTGTTTTTTTTCAGGAAAACCCGGTTTTCCTACAGTTTAAAGATACCCTGAAAAAGCCTTTTTATGAGCCTACCCATGGAGCTGGCGGTGTGCCTGGCAAGTGGCGCCAGCTGCCGCGTGTCGCTGCCCCCGGAGTCCAGCGTCCATCAGCTGAGGGCGGAGGCGCAGCGGCGGCTCGGGCGCCGCGGGCTGAGGCTCGCCGTCGCCGAGGCGGAGGAAGTGACGCTGAGCCCTGGCGAAATGGGGATTGCTCGGACAGCCCAAGAGTCGGCCCGGCTTGCCTGTGGCATAAAAATATACCCCCTACTCAAAAAATGCCAAGGCTTTTTTCAGTTGGTATTTTTCGGAAAAGACCTGGTTGCCTGTGGGCAAGAATTATCACCTTTTAAGGTTGGGCCTGCTGCCTTGTTGTGAGTTTTAACATCATTTTCCCGTTAGCAGTAAGAAGCCCAGTAGTGCTAGGTCCCCCAGGAGTGCCCTTTCTCACCCCTTTTTTGGTTGGGAGGGTTCCCCTACTAAAATAGACTACAGAAAAGAGTTTGTACCCTTATTTTAACCTCTCAAATCTGGAGGACCTACCATGGCAAAAAAATACCTTCAAGGTTGGACCTGCTGCCGTTTTGTGAGTTTTCATCAGTTTCCCTTACCTTCAAGATTGCAAAATTATCTTTGAGGTTGGACCTGCTGCCTTTTGTGAGTTTTAACATCATTGTCCCTTACCTTCAAGATGGCAAAATTATCTTTGAGGTTGGACTGCTGCCTTTTTCTGAGTTTTAACATCATTTTCCCTTACCTTCAATTATCTTTGAGGTTGGACCTGCTGCTTTTTGTTTTGTGTGTGTGTTTGTATTATTATTATTATTGTTATTATTATGATGATTATTATTATGATTATTATTATTGTTATTATTATGATTATAATGAATATGATTAGTATTATCATCATTTTCCCTTGCGTTTGCAGGAAGCACACTTTTGGTATTTTGAGGGAGTGTTCGTCTGAAGGAGCGAGGCGGGCCTCAAGGACGGGGACAGCATTGCTGCCGCCGCGCTGCCCATTCAGCTTACGTCCACCGTGGGCGCGTTTGCGGTTCATGCGGTAGGCTTCCGTTTGCTGAAAAGAAGATGTTGGTTTCCCCCCCCTCCCCCGGTTGTTTTAAAGGGAATCTATCACTACTGGTGAAAGACTATTAAACATATGTTTGTGTTGGTTTTAAAGGGAATCTGTTTTTTGTTTCAGGGAATCTTTTTTTTTGAAGGGAGTCGATTTCACTGCTGGACATATGTTCTCATTTTTGTCCATTGGTCTTAACCAAATGGAAGGAGGTCGTGCGCTTACTTGGGGCGATCCTCAATGGGGCGCTGACAGCAGCCAGGTGCGAGAGCAGTTGGCGAAGGTCCAGCAGATCAAGGCGAATCAGGGTGCTTTTGCTGCCATCCTGGATGACGGCTCTGTGGTCACTTGGGGCAATTATGATTATGGTTGTAACAGCAGCCTGGTGCGAGAGCAGTTGGTGGGCGTCCGGCAGATTCAAGCAACTCTGCGTGCTTTTGCTGCTACCTTGGACGACGGCTCTGCAATCACTTGGGGCTATCCTGATTATGGCGGCGACAGCAGCCAGGTGCGAGAGCAGTTGGTGCGGGTCCAGCGGATCCACGCAACACAGACAGCTTTTGCTGCTATCCTGTTTGATGGCTCTGTGGTGACTTGGGGCAATCCTGAGGCTGGTGGTGACAGCAGCCATGTGCGAGAGCAGTTGGTGCGTGTCCAGCAGATCCAAGCAACAGCCCACGCTTTTGCTGCCATCCTGGACAACGGCTCTGTGGTGACTTGGGGTATTCCTGGCCATGGCGGAGACAGCAGTCAGGTGCGAGAACAACTGGTGCATGTCCAGCAGATCCAAGCAAGCAGAAATGCTTTTGCCGCCATTCTGGAGGATAACTCTGTGGTGACTTGGGGTCCTCCTGACTGTGGCGGAGACAGCAGTCAGGTTCAAGAGCATTTGGCGGGTGTTTGTCAGATCCAAGCAACTGAGTGTGCATTTGCTGCCATCCTGGACGATGGCTCTGTGGTGACTTGGGGCCACCCTGACTTTGGCGGAGACAACAGTCAGGTTCGAGAGCGTTTGAAGGGTGTTCGTCAGATCCAAGCAACCCAGACAGCTTTTGCTGCCATCCTGGACGATGGCTCTGTGGTGACTTGGGGCAATGCTAACAATGGTGGTGACAGCCGCCAAGTGGACGGGCTGTTAGTCCATGTGAATCAGATACAAGCATCTGCGAGCGCTTTTGCTGCCATCCTGGACGATCGCCGTGTTGTGACCTGGGGCAATCCTCGCGCTGGCAGTGAGAGCCATGATGTGCACGAGCAGTTGGTGCATGTGCAGCAGATCCAAGCAACTGGAAAGGCTTTTGCTGCCATCCTGGACAACGGCTCTGTGGTGACTTGGGGCGACAGCTCCTGGGGCGGTTGCAGCAGTCAGATTCAGACAGAGCTGGACTTGCTTTAAGGCAGAATGCCGTCTTTGCAAAGCACAGCCAAAGGAGAATGAAAATGTACCTAAACCAAATGGGGCTGAGCTTTGTTTAAACTTTTGCCTGCCAAAGGGCTTCTAAAGGCCCAATACAGTGGGGTTTGTGTGTGTGTGTGCGTACTGCATGTTGTACCTAGAGCTTTAATCTCGCACTTTTGCCTCAAGAAACAAATCATCCTTCAAGGGTGTCATTTCGCTAGTGCTAGCAAACACCAGTAGTGCCCTCTCCAAGGAAGGTCAAAACTGAAACCGCAAGTTTGCGTGGGTTCCGCCAGAAGACACGCAGCACATTGTTGCGCATTTGTTTGGTAAATGCATCTGTTTTTCGCAAGGGGTCGATATGATATTTTGTTTTTTGGGTATTTGCGGTAGGGGGTACCCCCAATCGCAATACCCGTTTTGGTTTGAGTGTTTTTTTTTGAAAACTGTGTTTTTGTTTTTCCCATGGTGAATGCCTCCTTGGTGGTGCAAAGGGTCGATAGGATGCTTTTTTGTTGTTTTAAGAACCTGTTTGTTTTTTGCAAATACTACCTTTTTTGTTTAGGGTTCACATAATCGGACAGAATACCCCGAAAAAAAAATGTAAAAGGGCACCGCCTACTCCAAATACCCGCTTTTTGAGGGTAGTTGTTTGGACCACCTGATTTCCCACACTAAGATAACTCCCTTTTTCAGTAAAGGGTCGACATGATTCCCAACCAAAAAATGGATCTTTTCAATTAAATTACTTCACAGCTGGTTTTTTTTGGGGGGGGCACTATTCCTCGCTTCGTTCAGTCGATCTTCCTCCGCCCTGCGTGGGAGACGCTTGCGGCCCGAGTCTGAGGGAAATGACGTTGGGCTCTTGGACTTTGGGGGTTTGGGCTTTTGGACTCAGGGCACGGGGTTTTAGTGAAGCCCTTCAAGAACCCTTCTCTTCCACTTTTTGTTTTTGGTACTGTGGATGGGCAAAATCCATTTCGCAGCACCCAAGAAACCCTGGAAGAATGATTCCCCGGTAACTTCCAATGATCAATGGTTTCCAATGGTTTGCCTGTGGTGCAAAATTTCGCCCATCCACAGTATGTTCTGGAGAACGTGGCTTTTTATATTGTAAGTACCTTCCTTTTTAATAAAGGGTCGACATCATGCCCTGAAAAACGTTGGTATTTGGAGTAGGGAGTGACGGACACAGCTTGTTGGTTGAAATATGTTTAAGTTTCCAGTGACCCCAAAGTCAAACTTGTTGCAGCCCACTTGGCCCCCCACCACACACCCACTTTTGAGTTTGTATTTTGTGTTTGGAAAGCCGCGTTGTTAACAATCGGTTGACATGATACCCTATCACCCCGAAAAAAAAGGGCTCGTAATCGGAGGTTACGATGCCAGCCCCTCGCCACAAAGGCAGGTATTTAACTAGGTCCCCCAGTCGTGCCCTTTCTCACCCCTTCTTGGGTTGGGAGTCGGGAGGGTTCCCCTACTAAAATAGACTACAGGAAAGAAACACAAAACAAAACGGGCACCCTTATTCTAACCTCTCTACTGGAGGACCTAGTTAACTTGTTTGACCATGGTTGTCCAAAACAAAAGATCTGAGCCTAGTCGCAGAGTCATTGCAACCCTGGTTGAGAGTGGTTGTGCCACAGACAAACCAGGGTTGAATATCCAGGCGACTACTGGTGACTAGTAGCCATGAGGGTTCAAGGGCCACCTGCTGCCTCTAGCTGTGAATCAGTTGAATCTGGGTGGGTTTTTCAGGCGGGTGCCACTTGTTGTGGAGGGCGGTTGAACGGGAAGCCAACAGCAACTTGCCGAAATTCCCGGGGTGGGGGCCAAAACCCTATTTTGATGCATTCCTTTTTTAATCAGGATAGTGTTTGGAAAACCATGTTTCTTTCCAAGTTAAATACCACCTTTTTGAGTAAAAGGTTGACATGATACCCAACCAACCACATACGGGTATTTGGACAAGGGTACCCTTAAATGAGTTTTGTCTCAACAGAGTCATCAGAGTCATGTCCGCTGAAAGTTTATAGCCATGTGGGCAGAACCAGTTCCACAGAGATCGTCTAGTTCTCCCTTTGCGGCTTGTCTTGTTTCTCTCGATCTGGCTTTCCACCCAACCAGGTTGGATCTCACATGTCCGAAGCGAATTACCTTGTGGTTTCCTTGATGTGGTCCCCCAGTCAAGGTTGCAACATGTGATCGCCTTTTGCTCCTTAAGCCAAACACCTGTTTTTGTTGTTTTTTCATGGTAACAACAACACGATCTTTTGTTTTCCATGGTAAGTGGGCGATCTTGTGTTTTCCCCTCCATCTTTTGCTTACCATCTTTAGAGGGTGGACCAATCCTAGCCTAAACCAATCGCCGGGTATTTGAGCTCACCGCTCTCCGGTCCGCGCCCCGCCGAGCTCCGGTTTTTTTGTGTCCGAGGCATCGCCGACCTGGACGCCCAGCTCCGCGCCGCGCCTGGGGAGGCCGGCGAGCGGCGAAGTGGACGTCGCGAACGTCGGTTGCGTTTCGAGGGGTTTTGGTTCGGATCTCCAAAAGGGCCCCCGGAGCTCCAAATGCTTTTTTTTTTTGTTTTCTTCCCCCCCATTTCCGCAGTTCGTAGTTTGGACACATCGCGTGAGGGTTTGCCAGGGGAAATACACATATATATACCTTTGTTTCAGAAGGGGATTGACCTCATAGCCGCCTGAAACGAGCGCTGGTTTTACTCACTGCAACCAAAGCGAACCGATCGAAATGGCCTTGGGGTCTCCCCTTGAGTTCCCATTGTCAGTATACCCCCGTAACCTCCAAATACCCTCTTTTTTCCGTATCATGCCGATCCTCTACAAGAAAAGGATGTATTTACCATGGAAAAGCGATCGGTTTTCCCAAAAATGCCAACTGAAAAAAGCGGGTAGTTTGAGTAGGGGGTACCAGTCCAAAAAGGTGATCTCCGGTGACTTTCTTAGGTCAGTCCCTAAGGGGCAAGGAGCAAGTGAGGCTTCCAAGGGTTAATCAACCTGCATGGTTTACTTCCATTTGCTTAAGAACTTGCTTTATTTTCCCCTGCTGGTTTTACAGGAAATCTGTCACTACGTACTGGACATATTTGTGCTTTTTCCTGTGGAATTAAGCAAATGGAGGTTTAGGTGACCCTTTCGGGCTCTCCACTCAACCCATCACCTGGAGCACCCCAAAAGAATGCGCGCTTTTCTGAAACACACAAAGAAGCACAGCAGCTGTTTGAGGTAGGAAAGGAGCATGTATTACCGAATACCTTCCTGCGAATATTATGTTGTTTTGGGATATGGGTTGGACTTTGGAAACAAAAATGGGGAATACCCCGCTCTAGTTCCATTTCCCCTACCCCCTACACACAATACCCGTTGTTTGCAGGGTATCATGTTAAATGTCTAGCAAAAAGGGGACCCAGGTTCTGAAAAAATAAATACCATGAACAGAACAGGTGGGAGTAGGGGTACTCCAAATACCAACCGGCTCTTTTTTAGGTGATGATGTCGATCGGTATTTCCCGTGAAAGACCAGACTTGAAACGGTTGAACGACGTGACGTTTCAACTTTTGAGGGCATGGGTTGGCAGTCGGCTTTGCGTGCAAGCACCTGAGCAGTTGTGGCTCGTTGAATTGCCAGCAGACCCCCTACACCCAAACCCAACTTTTTTCAGGGTATGATGTCGACCCTCTACTACAAAAGGAGGTATTTACCATGGAAAACCAGGTTTTCCCAAAAATACCCGGAACACGGCGGGTATTTTGAGTAGGGGGTATATGTAAGGGAATGAGTGGAGTCTAGTCCTTAAGACCGGGAGTTCAGAGCTCGGGACTTCACTTCGCTGGCTGAACCCAAAGCCACTCGAGCGCAGGTGACCTTCGTGGATCAAGGCAGCCGAGCGGGGAAGAAAAAAAAACGGACCCGCAGAATCTGCCCAGGTCTCCCGAAAGGCTTTGCCGGTAAGAAACCAGAACGTACCCCCGAGAGGTGGACACCCCCGAAAGTCGGTGGAGATTTGGCCGAAGAGACGGGGCCAAGCCAAACACATGGCTTACCCTAAGGCCCCCCCCTACTCAAAATGCCAAGGTTTCTTTTTCAGTTGGTATTTGTTTGGGAAAACCGATCAGTGTTCCATGGTAAAGACCAAACCTTTTTGAGTAGAGGGTCGACATGATACCAACTGAAAATGAGGGAATTTGGAGTAGGGGGTATTACCTGTTTGGAAGGTGCCCCGTTGTTCAACTGGCCATGCATTGAGGCGCCCTTATTTTGAGAACCCAAACGAGGATTCTTTCAGGGCATCCAAGGGGACTGGACCACTCTGGGGAGTGACTTTGCCACTCCGAGTAGCTTTTGGTCGGGTGTAAAACCTGCACCCTAGGTGGGTCAACAAATATCTTAAACAAAGGTGGGTTTCTGGGAGTTGGGCTACAGCTGCACGTTCTGAACTTCAGACCCATCTGACCAAAGCGAGCTCAATCGAAGGTCCGTGTACGGGATCCCTGTCCTATTTATACTTTGTTCGGCTGGCCAAGTTAAGCGGAAAAAACGACACTTGGAGTAGCGTCTAGGTCCCTCAGTGCCCTTTCTCAATGTTTCTCACAAACTTTTTTGGTTGGGAGATTCGCTTCCCCTACCAAAATAGACAAGACTGAAAAGAAAAGTTGGCACCAACTGATTCTGACCACTCACATCTGAAGGACCCTCAGAATAAAAACCCCACACATTCCAAAGCCAAGGGGCCAAGAGCCATGGATTGATGCCAAGAGCAAATGCGACCTTGGAGGGAACTTCCCCCGGAACCTTCAAATACCAGTTTTTGTTTGTTTTTTGTTTTTTTTTCATTTTTTTTTTATATTTTATTTTCCGGTTGGTATCATGTCGACCCTCTACTCAAAAAGGTGTGTTTTTTTCGCCATGGAAACCGATCGGTGTTCCAAAAAATACCGACTGAAACAAGCGGGTATTTGGAGTAGGGGCTCCTTTGGAGTACAACAAGTTGAGCAAGTCTCGGGATTTGTGAAAGCTCCGAATACCCGGCC